CTTACTTCTTTTACTTTTTTGAGGTTCTACCTCAACATATCCATCTTGATCCTTTTCCATTATTTCCAAATTTCTTTTAGTGGAACTAGAATCCACTTCAGACTTACGTAGAAATATATGCTCAAAAAACGAAGCATTTCTAGATTCAAGTATCGTATTCTTATGAATTTCCTCAATTTTAGATTCATGTACAAGAATACGATAAGCACTACTGTTGTGTGCATATCCAATAAATATGCAATCAACAGATTTTGGTCCAATCTTTATTTTTTTTGGCGTAGGTATTGCCACTTTTTCCAGACACCCCCACACTCGCAAGTATTTGTAGGATGGTGGTCTTCCATGCCATAATTCATATGGACTTTTGTCTAACTTTTTACGGGGAACCTTATTTAAAAGGTAATTTGCTGACAACACAGTTTCCCCCCACATGTTCTGTGGAAGTCCAGAACTTAACAACATTGAATTCATCATTTCTTTTAAAGTACGATTTTTTCTTTCCGCAATCCCATTTTGTTGCGGTGAATAAGGTGTTGTCATTTCATGTCTTATCCCATGTTGGGCACAAAATTCAGCGAAAGGTGACTCATATTCACCTCCCCTATCACTTCTTATCACCTTAATCTTTTTATTTAACTGATTTTCAACTTCATTTTTATAGAGAATAAATTTCTCTATCGCTTCATCCTTACTTTTGAGAAGATACACATAACAAAATTTAGTGCTATCATCTACAAAAGTAATGAAATATTTATTTCCACCACGTGTCATGACACCTTTTAAATCACATATATCAGTGTGAATTAAATCAAGTGGTTCACTATTTCTTTCAATAGTTTGAAATGGTACTCGTGTCAATTTTGCTTCAACACAAGTTTCACACTTATGTTTTGAATCAATATGGAACATAGGTATGCTTTTCAATTTTATTAACCTGCGTAGGGTATTATAATTGACATGTCACAGTCTACCATGCCATACAATGGAAGACTCAAGCATATAAACGAAAGGATTAACATTTTTATTAATTGTCATCACATTGAGCTTAAAAAGCCCATTACATTCATAACCCTTCCCTACAAATGCTCCATTTTTAGTCAAAATGACCTTATCAGATTCAAACACTACACGAAAACCATGTTTGATCAACAAAGAACCAGACACCATGTTCTTGCGAATTTCTGGTACATAAAGGACATTATTAAGAGTCAACTCTTTTGCAGATGTCATTTTCAGTACCACTTTTCCCACTCCTTTGATGTCATATGTGGCAGAGTTTCCCATGAAGAGTTTTTCTCCATCCACAGTCTCGTCAAGGACATTAAACAATTCCTTGTTTGAGCAAACATGACAGGTAGCACCCGTGTCAATCCACCATTCATGTGGATTTGAGCCCACCAGATTCACCTCAGATATAACTGCGTCGAGGTGCATCTCATCAACATCTTTGGCCAAATTTTCCACCATGTGGACTTCTCGAGTTTTCTTTGGCAACCTGCAATCAGATGTCTTATGGCCAGGTTTATTACAATTATAACAATTTCCAGAAAATTTTTTTCTTGAAAATTTGTTTCTTTGGCCCCATTATTGCCTTGTCAGCATTGCCATATTTTTTCTTATTATTTTTACTTGAGCTTTCACCATGCTCTACAACATTGGCATTTGCCAAAGAAGGATTAACCAATTTGTTGTCGTAGCCCTTGTTGTCTTCTTCAATTCGAAGTCTAACAACGAGCTCTTCAACGGTCATCTCCTTTTTCTTATGTAATAAATAATTTTTGAAATCTTTCCAGCTTGGTGGTAGCTTTGCAATTATGGCAGCCACCTGGAAAGTTCATTCACAACCATTCCTTCAGAATGGATATCATGCAAGATTATTTGAAGCTCTTGCACTTGACTGATTACAGTCTTCGAGTCAACCATCTTGTAGTCCAGAAACCGGCCTACAATAAATTTCTTGTCCCCAGCGTCTTCGATTTTATATTTTTTTATCCAAAGACTCCCACAGCTCTTTTGCTGTTTTGATAGAACTGTACACGTTGTACAGTGTATCAGCCAAGCAGTTCATCACATAATTTCTACACAAGAAATCCGA